ATGACTTTAGAAAGTTAAAATTCATATATTTACTGGAAAATAACTTTTTCTATAACCACTTAGTATTTATCGCACAAACTACCAACTCAATATATGAAGGAGATGGTTTTCCTCCTCTCCTGGAATCTGTAATCCTAAGAAAAGGAATCCCAGGTCAGTGTTCGGCTCTCCCACTACCAGCCCAAGCCCATCAGTGACAGTGTTTCCCCAGGGCAGAGCTCTGGGCTGGCAGAGCCAGAGCAGGCACTTCACCAGCATGTGCTGGGAAACACCCAGAAAAAAAAGGAGAATAGATCATGGTACATTCTCTACCTGCCACAGAAGAGTAAGTGTCCAGGATGAGAATGTAACAAGTCCCCTACCTTCCCAAACACATGATCGAGTTTCTCCTGCATTTCCAACTATGGTTCACAAATCACCGAGGAGAGGACACAAGAAAGGGCATGGAAAAAAGGTCAGGAGACCAGACTCCTTCCCTAATGGCATTTTGTGATCAAACAAGCATTTCTACTTATTACTTGGATGAATCAACAAAGTTAAGATCTAAAAAGATAGTAAAGCTACATTCCAATATACTGGTTGGTGATATCGATCAATAGAATCTATCCAAAACCATCTGATTCCCTCTCAGCTCTTTCTTAAGGGTCTGGGTTTTTTATGTATGACTGGAAATACTGGTCAGTAGCTTACCAAGACCAGATCTACCAAGTGTCTGACCTACCACTTCATCATACCAGGGTATTATCTCCCATCAGTCTGTCTTCTGGCAGTGCAAACATAATTTTCAAGTGATGTTAGTCTAATTAAATGTGCAAACTGAACCAATATTCTATCTTCTAAGCAATATACCCAAAAGCCGGTTGTTGTTTTTTTTTTTTCAAAAGAACCTTGACAGGGGCACCTGTGTAGCTCAATGGGTTAAGCCTCTGCCTTGGGCTCAGGTCATAATCTCAGGGTCCTGGGATTGAGTCCCGCATCAGGTTCTCTGCTGAGCGGGGAGCCCACTTCTCCCCTCTCTCTGCCTGCCTCTCTGCCTACTTGTGATCTCTCTCTGTGAAATAAATAAATAAAATTAAAAAAAAAAAAAAGAACCTTCACAAAACACTCATATTCTTGCAAATGAACTATACATATTTGCTATTCTTGCTCTTTATGGCTTTTTGAGAAGCTACTTGCAGATCAAATGCAAATCTGCCATGGGTATATGCATCAGAGTAATCTACTAATATTAATCTGACCTTGCCTAGACATAACATCCCATGCACATGCTGAGAAAAACATAATTATAATATATATGAGGCTATGGCCTCAGTACAAACTTCCCTTCACTTTCCATTTGCGTATTTTCAGCCAAGTCAAAAAAGGCTCCGTAAGTTCACCACTGACAGATTTCATTAGCACATCTCCTAGGGAAGCACTGATGATTAAAATAATTGTCGAAGCTGCTAAAGCAGCTGCAGTTTATAAGGAATACCTAGTGGCTAAGACCATTTCCTCTGCACTCTTTCTCATTACCCTGTGTATTTCCTTCCTAGCAAAAAAATGCTATGTGTAATTAACTCATTTATTTGTCTGCTTACTGTCTAAAATGAATACCTAGAATGCCAGCTACCCAGCTGTCTCACTCAGCACCACAGTCTCCAGGCTTGCAACAGCACTGGGTTTATCTGAGCCACTCAGTAAGTATACTCCATTCATTTTTAGACCTTACTGTTAACACTGGTACCCTGTTCTATACATATTAATAACAAAACCAAAAAAATTAATGCACGCTGGAGATCAGGAAAAAGCTACTATTCAGGCTACTGTTGGCTTGGATTACGGTGCTGGTAGTAGAGATGGTTAAAAGGAGGTTATAGGTATTCACTGAACAAAAAATATTCAAGTATGTCTGTGTTCAAATATAGAAAAACTGGATTTATGTTGGTTTCCGCAATGAGCCACATTATACCTTCCAACGATTTGTGGCGGAATCTTTACATTCTTAAAAATGTAAATATGGCCATCTTTACATTTTTTAAAATGGTTTTATTGTTCTAAACATGGCTGCCAGAAAAATATGAACCTCACTTTCAATTCCATTAAAATTAGAGTTTGGTAGTACATATAAATGAAATTCTGCGTGTGTCAGAGGTTTTCAAGAATCTCAAACTTAATTCACTAAGTTAGCGTTGAGTACTTTTACGAAGAACTTCTTTCTCCGTATATCTGGAATATGATTTTCATTGTGAAATAAAAAGTGACCCTCAAAATAGCTCAAAACTCAATGTCTCGAAGTAAGATCCTCATTCTCTGAATATTCACTCCAATAATTCTTTGGGGGATCGTCCTCCTGAATTCGAGGAGGAGAGCTTTTTACTCACTTGCTGCCATGTAAGCTTCAGCCTTTCATACTGCTCCTTGCCATCTTCTGAGCAATCGGAACAAGTGAACCTAAAAAAATTATCACCCTTAAGGTAACTGAGCTGTTCCCTCAGCTGACCTAGGAGAAAAACAAAAAGGCACATCACAGGTTTATCTACAGCAGCGTTTATCAGTTTATCAACCAGATTTTCCATGCTTCCCATGTTTTTCCTTTTTCAGCCAACCCATGATAGCAGGATGGGAAGGTAGGGAAGGTAGAAAAGATTTTTGTTTTTCTAACATAGTATATGCCTGTTGAGATCTGTGGTTCCCTAACTTTTACAAGATACTGGAAAAGCAAGTTTTTATTGCTGTCATTGGATTTTCCAACTGTTGATATTCCTGACTCCTATGGGTCTCTTTACATTTTTTTTTTTTTTAAGATTTTATTATTTGACAGAGAGACAGACAGTGAGAGGGAACACAAGTAGGGGGAGTGGGAGAGGGAGCAGCAGGCTGCCCGGGGAGCAGAGAGCCTGATGTGGGGCTGGATCCCAGGACTCTGGGATCATGACCTGAGCCAAAGGCAGATGCTTAACAACTGAGCCACCCAGGCGCCCCTCTTTACATATTCTTCCAAGAAACATCTGAATTCCCACTGCATGCCAGGTACTGGCGTAAGAACTGGAATACAGTACTCACGACAGTCAGCTCACAGCATTTGATGAATTTTGAGGGCCACAGATGAGGAAATGTCATCACAACAGCACAGTGGTTCTCCATCCTCACGGTGCAACAGAACGACCCAGGGAGAGGTTTTGGTTTCTTAAAAATATGCCTGGGCCCATCTCACACAGAATGAGTCGATTTCTGAAAATGGGTGTGGGTCTCTGCCTTTTTCAATGTTCCTCAGGTGATGCTGAGGCTCTGGGAGACAGGGCAACCACTGGAATGGAATGTGCTGTGTACCATAGGGCAATGTGAGGGCACAGAAAAGGGAGGCCCAACCTCTATTAGGAAGATGGGAGAGCTAGAAGAGTGGGGTCTCTAGGGGGCCTGAAGAAGGACTAGAATTGGCCAGGGTAGAGGGGTGCCTGGGGGCTAAAGAGACACACATTCGGGAAGAAATTAAAATGTGCCAAGACCTTAGGATAAGAAAGAATTGGTTGTGGAGAATTAAAAGCTCACCCTAACTGCAAATTTCTGGTTGTGTGGGGACAGGGCACTGACAAGAGAAGCTGAAGCTAGCAGGGTCTATCTTGAAAGACTGTTTAAAATACATCCTGGGGACACCTGGGTGGCTCAGTTGGTTAAGTGGCTGCCTTCGGCTCAGGTCATGATCCCAGCATCCTGGGATCGAGTCCCACATCGGGCTCCTTGCTCGGCAGGGAGCCTGCTTCTCTCTCCGTCTCTGTCTGCCTCTCTGTCTGCATGTGCTTGCTCTCGCTCTCGCTCTCGCTCTCTCTGACAAATAAATAAATAAAATCTTAAAAAAAAAAATACATCCTGAGAGGACAAGGGGAACACCACTGAGATTTTCAGGCAGGTGTGTGAATCAGTAAGCAGACACTGCTCAGAAGCAACATCAGCTAATGCACAGAAAGTTCTAGATTTTTTCCTATGAAATGAAATGAAAATGTTAACTTATTAATAGTAACGATTATTCTGAATAGTAAGTCCATCTTAAACACATTTCCACATACCAGAAAATGACCCCTTTCACGTGCATATATATATATATATATATATATATATATACACACACACATACACACACACACACACACACACACACACACAGAAATTTCTCTTAGTTATAAACACAAAGAATTCCTCCGGTACATATGTCTTTACTAGTCTCTGCCTAATGCAAAAATCCTGTTTTGGTAAGACTCATGATGGCTGGCAAAGCATGCTCCTTGAGAGCCAGGAAGCTGGCAGATGCAAAGATTAAGTTAAAAGCGTGAGGCATCAGGAGAGCATGTGTGTGTGTGTATCTCTTGCCAGCAGATCTAGGAGGCCAGCAAGTGGAAAACAAGAATGGTCCCAGAAAAAGAGCATAAAATACTTTTAATCTGCTAATTCTCACTTACTTCAACATACAACAGCAGTTTTCCATGGGAGTCAAATACTACCAGAGTAACTTGAACTTTAATTCTATACTTACTGGGCCTATTATTTGGCCCCAAATCTGTGACATGATCTTGTTAGAACAATGTGGCTAATTCTTTAAATAACGCAGAATTTCCAATTTTCTGATTTTTATTGGATTGCCATCAAGAACGTTAATTTAACAATGTGAGAGTCTGACAGTAATTTTTATTAATACAAATGTGTCTATGTTTTATATAAATCTGTCATTAACCAACTAAACTAATAATAAATATAATAATTATCTTTTTATTTAGGTCCATTTTACATTTCATGTTTTGTTCACAGATTAGAAAAACAAACCTTCACACAGGAATTAACAAATGAAAGGAATTGAGAAGCTCCTTACTGGCCGGTATCCATTTTTGGCACTTGTCACAGAAGTAGGACAGCTGCTCCTCCATCCACGACACATCTCCTTCATCACTGTTGAGGGAATCCCCACTCTGATCATGAGATAAGTCCACTGATGCCTGGTCCTCCGATTCCACGATCAGGAGAGTCTCCCCCTCCACCTCCCCCTCCTCCAGCCCTTCTGAGGTAGATGTTCTCGTGGCTTCATCGTCGTGCCGGCTTATCAAACTACTCAGGTGGATGTTACTATCCATCCCTTCCTCTCACAGGTTCCAAAGTCCTTTTCACTAAAAATCCTAAGCTCTGGACACCAAGCTTATAGGGGCTTCTACCAGGACCACAAAGACAGAAATTCTTCAGAAGAGTGTCTGCCTGCTTCTTGACTCAGAAGGGACTTTTAAAGCAGTAATTTAGAACATATGATCCACTGTCCTTTTCTTTGGCCAAGCTGGAAAGGATAGTGACCAAAAAAAGGCTGAAGTCCTCACTAAGCTATCCTCCATCCACACTCGCACACTCACACTTGACACTGTCCCATCAATACTTGACAACCATTTTGGGTCATGTTTTTTGAGATCCTTTTGCCAATAACATCTTCTCTCTTTCCGCTTCAAGTTGCTCAGTCAAAATAATCTGTTCTCCCAAAAGACGAATGTTTTCTTTTTTCCGATTTTGTCTCTCAATGTCTCTGATCACTCCATCATGAAGCCTCTAAAAATGTAAGAAAGAGATTTCAGTAACACCTTGAACAGGTGGTTTCCATCCTCGTGCCATTCAATCCGAGTAACAGTGCTACTAAAATATACTGAAAACTTTGAGACTCCAAATACGCAATTACTATTTCAACTTTCTCCATAAATGTAAAATGTAATAAACCATCAGATTAAATTGGTGGTGTACTCTACCAGTGTTATTACTAAAATGACATCTTAACATATTTTACGAAATTCCTGAACATTTAGTATAGAGACTTAATGGGAAATAACATTAATTTAAAAAGAAAAAACTGCTCCTGTGTTGAACTTTAAGTTTGATATTCAATGCTTCAAAAGACTTGGTGAGATTTACTATAGTAACTCTATGAACTACTTTCCTGTTGGCAATTATCCTCGCTCAATAATAAACATCAAAGAAAGAAAAAAAAAGATTACTGAAATTTAAATAGGATGCAAGAAAGAACCTGACTTTTTCTTATGTGTAAAGGGAAGTAAAAATTATACAGAATTACTAGCCAATTACACAACTGAGAGAGATGGGAAAAATACAATGCCACTACCAGAGGAAAAAATAAAGGCCCATCAGTGGTAATTATTTTGATAAGCAGTAAAGATAGGTAGAAAATTCCAAAACACGGACCTAGCACCTAAGGTGAGACTTTTTAAAGCAAAAATCCAGTCATTACCAATAATTACCATTTTATAGTTTTTAGGTCACAAAATAAAATTTTTTAACAGGGGTCTTGTGAGATAGAGGCCTCTCTTGTGAGGGGGCCCAGGCCTGAGGTTTTGGGTTTTTTGTTTTAAATTATCAAGTCTATTTTAAAAACTCACAAAGTACATACTTGCCGGACCTCCTCCAGGCCTAGAGTTTCATTCCCTCTTACAGCGGAGTTGAGGAATTTAAGAGTCTTGGAATAGACAACACAACTGAAAACCAACTTTTTGGAACACTGTTCCTTGGCCAGATCTCCAGCGACATTTGACTCCTCCCTCTCCAGTTGCCCGCTCCTGTGCTCCTTATACCATGACATATCCACCCACACTCCTCCATGCCTCCCAAGGCGCACACCACGGGCTGGAAACATTCTTCCCAAACCTGCTTCTGAGATCCCACCCTTCCTTTCTCAGACTTCAGAATATGGCTTAGGAGCTTGCTCTCCTGCCACCATTTGCTACCTTCCTCCAACTCCAAGTTTCAATATTTGCTGATTGCCTGTGACTTCCACTTAACTACCTTCCTAACCACCAACAGCTCTTCACCATTACTCACGTAGCATTACTCTTTTTGCTGGTTTCCTGTAAGGATGAGTGTCAGTGGCTGGTATGGGGTAGACAGTCAAAAAATGAGAGAAAACTATAGTCATTATGTTATTTCTTGCTTCCTTGAAACTTCCAACACACCCACCCTGTCAATCATTTGTTTTGCTCCTTCCCAGGCTAGAAAGAAAGTCCATGGTGACTGGATGTAAAATAACCACATGTTATTCTGGCCAATCTTTGCTTCACCTAACTTCCAAATATCTAGATCTTTCTGCTCTTCCTCTCTCTAGCACAGTGATACTCAAGCCGGCCTGCATGTTAGAATTCCCTGGGCAGCTTTTAAAAGATACCTAAACCAGATCCCTCATCTCCAAGAGATTCTGATTTAAGAGGTCTGGAGTAGGTTACATTGTAAAAACTTCTAAGGAACATGAGATGTGTAGCTAGTTCAGAACCAAGTTCTTACCCACCCTACTCCATACTCTTTGAAAATCCCTGCCCTCAGTGACCTCCAAGCTAATTAGGACACTCTGCCCTCTACTTCATCTCAAATTTCTTTTGATCTCATTTCCTTTCACTTCTTAGAAGAGAAACTCTCCTGCCTCTGTTCCAAAAGCTACCTCCCTAAGAAGCCATACTTTTCCCCAATCTCTAACCTCTTTCATGCCCTGCCATGGTTCATCTCAATACCCCCTTCCCCAAATTCTTACACCATCACACCTTTCTCTGATTTCCAGACTGTGAACGAGGACCAAGACCTCATCTGCTTCATCTCTGTATATCAAGCACACTGCTCAGCCCAATGCAAGAAAGACTGCTTACTAGTTCACCCAGTTCATTACTTCCATCCTTAAAAAAACTAGGCTCAACTCTAACACACGCGCTGACCTAGTTGCCTGTTGTCACATTCAATATTCAGCACTGCTGTGAATCAGTTACAGACTCAGGAACGCCTATCCTTCCTTATCTTTGATTCCCAACGTGCCTAGTGTGGAGCCTGACACTAGGTCCTTAAACATGGTGAGATCGGTCATTAAAAATGCGCCAACTACGCCTGGGTGGCTCAGTGGGTTAAAGCCTCTGCCTTCGGCTCAGATCATGATCCCAGGGTCCTGGGATCAAGCCCCGCACGGGCTCTCTGCTCACCAGGGAGCCTGCTTCCTCCTCTCTCTCTCTCTGCCTGCCTCTCTGCCTACTTGTGATCTCTGTCAAATAAATAAATAAAATCTTAAAAAAAAAAAATGCGCCAACTAGACTAAAGAAGATAGGAACTCAGAGACACAGAATGGACGGCTAATCTACCCATCAGTAAGTCACAGTTACTTCCAGAAACAAAAGTACCGCAAAAAAGAAAATAGTTCCCGGAATCTGGTTTCCATAACAAACTGCTCCGTTAAAGACAAAAGACCAAAAAAAATTTAAAAAGCATCCACCAAATTACCTTAGCCAAAGGCACGGAAAGTGAATGCCGGGAAGCCTCCTTAACCCTGGGATCAAAACCTCACTAGCACTGAAACATCAGGATTGAGCCTCAACCTTGGGCCTGGGTTTGGGGACAAGCCAACAACTTGCTGAGTGCACCCGACGTAAACCCCTTCCCGACTCGAGTTTGCAGCGGCCCAGGTGAGACGCTGAAAAAGTCCGTGTCACGCAGGCTGGTGGTGATTTGGGAACAGGACCGCCGACTACGGCGCGGGCGAGTCTTAGCGGGAGCCAGGCGGCTGCGGCGCCGAGGCGTTGGGGACGCCCGGGGTCGCCTGGTGCCTCCCGGTGCACGCGGCCTCGGGGACTGCGGCGCCTAGGACCCGGCAGGCGGCAGCCGGGGCGCAATCGGCGAGAGCGCGGGGGAGCCGGGTCGCGCCGCCGAGGAGCCCACGAAAGAGGAAAAGACGAGGAGCAGCGGAGAACCAAGCGGAGACAGATCGCGGGCCAGAGGTCGCCGTCGCCGCGGCCACCGCGCGGGCCCCGGAAGAGGCGGTCACGTGACACCGACCTGCCGGTCCTGCCGCTGCTTCAGATGCACGCCGGCCACGGTGGCTGCCGTCAGCACCACCGAGAGGCCTAGCACCGCCTTCGAGCTCCTCGACATCCCCGCGCCGGCCACTGCGGCCTCCTCCTACCCGCCAGGGGCCGGGGCCGTAGCCGAACGATTCTCAGCGGGTGCGGGTCAGGCTCGACAGCTCGAGCGCAGAGCCTCGGCTGCCGGGTGCGCCGCCCGGCGCGCTAGGCGCGAGCAATCGAGAGTCGAGCGGCGTTTTCTGCTCCGCGGAAAACGTGTCTGCGGGTGAGGTCCTGGGACAGGAGTGCCTCTTCCCAATCCTCCCGACCCTGGCACGCGCACGCACACACACACATACACACACACCTGGGACAGGAGTGCCTCTTCCCAATCCTCCCGACCCTGGCACGCGCCGCGCACGCGCGCGCGCACCCCCCCCCCCCCCCCCCCCCCCCCCCGTCCCCTCTGAGCGCGGTGGTGACCCGGGTCCTTTGGTCCATACCAGCTTCACCAAACTCCGCCTCATTGCCCCTTTGGCGGGGCAGATGCTACCAGAAGATGGAGTTCTTGCTTGAAGATTCATAATTAAAGATGGAGCTCTTGCTTGAAAATTCATAATTAAATGTTGTAGACATCTTGGTGCTGTGTGCTGGCGGGTCAGGCTCTGAGGGTTTTGTTTTTGTTTTTTTGGTTTTTTTTTTTAAGATCTATTTATTTGACAGAGAGAGAGATTACAAGTAGACATAGAGGCAGGCAGAGAGAGAGAGAGAGAGAGAGAAGGAAGCAGGTTCCCTGCTGAGCAGAGAGCCGGATGCGGGGCTTGATCCTAGGACCCTGAGATCATGACCTGTGCTGAAGGCAGAGGTTTTAACCCACTGAGCCACCCAGGCGCCCAGGTGCCCAGCTGTGAGTTTTCTTAAAACAGATAGCCTTCTGGCTAAAGAACATGCTAACTTAGCAGCGAAGCCTCGTTGCCTCCAGATAAGAAAAGCGCTGGTCGACTTGTTTCCCCTGTAATCTTTAAGAGATCACCTTTATAAATTCGGAACTTCAGTTCGCGCACCAGGAAGACAGGATTCCTGATTCCCACATTACTAGGAAAATGAATGAATGAATGCATGCATGCTACAATGAGTCAGGCATTGCACAAGACATCATTTTCACTTTTCCTTATGGTAGAAAGAAGTTTGGCTTGCAGAAACTGTAAGGTATCTGGTAGAGCACACAATGAAGAGGATTCCCATTAAGTCATTCTTTCCCACTGGAGTTCACAGGGAGCAAGCTTCTTCCGTGGAAACAGCTGTGGACAATGTTGATTAGGGCCAGGTCTTGGTTAGCATCACCCAACGGTTTCTCCAGCATTCATTTCTGTGGAGCTTTGCTAGTCTGGTTTCTGTTATTTCACCATAAATGGCATGAGGTGATTATTGCTCTTAAGAAATGTAATAAAAATTTTTTTTTAAATTATTATTCTTTTCAAATCACATTTTGTCCACAGTAATTTTCTCAGCCAAAGGAGAATGTACCGTTGAATTGGAAAACTGAGTTCCTGCCTTAGTAGACCATGAAGTTAGAACTTTAATTTAAGGTATATTTGTATACTTTTCTAATTTAAAAAAAAAAGCTATATTAGCCTGCTTTTCACCTGTTGTGGACTCTAGATATTTTTCTCTGTGAGTCATTGAGCCTTCAGCAGAGTTACATGACCTTAGAATTTTGTCAGAGTCAGATTGCCTTCCATCCTATTGTGACTAATTTTTCAATTTGTCTTCTTTAAATGTAATTTAATTCTACTTTTAAAAATCCTGTATGTGTTAACAGTGTCAGATGAAAAAGTGGATTATCTGTTTAAGTATTTATGATCCTCAGCAGGGCATTTTGTGTAATTACTGCCACATAAATGATTGAAATGTGAGAGAATGACTGTAGACTCCTATATCCAATAATCACAAGAAAAGAGACAGGGAGACAGTTGACAAGTGGCAGTTGTTATGGACTGCATATTTGTGTCCTCCTAAAACTCTTATGTTGAAATCCTAATCCCTTAGTGGGATGGTATAGGAGATGGGGCCTTTGGGAGGTAGTTAGGTTTAGATAAGGTCATGAGGGTAAACACCCCCCCCCCCCACCCAGGAAGGATTAGTGTCCTTATAAGAAGAGCAAGAGACTAGAGCTCTTGTTAGGACATAGCAAGAAGACGGCCATCTCCAGACCTGGAAGGACCCTCACTGGAACCCAACCAGGGCTGGCACCCTGATCTCAGAGTTCCCAGGCTCTATAACTGACAAATTTCTGTTGTTTAAGCCATGCAGTCTTTGGTTTTTTTGTTATAGCAGCCCAAGCTAAAACAGCAATGAACTGTTCCCCAAAGTTAAGCATGGGTGTGGATTCTTGCTCCAGAGTCAGTATCACCAATAGTGAAGATTCAAGACCCAGTTCTCTCTCAGAACCTTCCAGCAACTCTCCTCCAGGAGCCAGATGCTGATCGGTCTTGAATTCTTCACTGTCTTTTTCTCAGTGGCAAATCATCACTTTTGCCAGCTAAAAGTCCTAGCTAACCATGGAAAAGTCCCGCTAACCATTGTAGAATCTCAGTAAGAGGTGCTCCTGAAATAATTACAAGAGGTAAATAGAGGCAGAGCTCCTACTACAAGGTAGAAGGCATAAAATTGAGACCCACCCATCCATGGGAGAGTTAAAAAAATCACTTCATGGGGCGCCTGGGTGGCTCAGTGGGTTAAAGCCTCTGCCTTCCGCTGAGGTCATGATCCCAGGGTCCTGGGATTGAGCCCCACATCGGGCTCTCTGCTCAGCAGGGAGCCTGCTTCCTCCTCTCTCTCTTCCTGCCTGTCTGCCTACTTGTGATCTCTATCTGTCAAATGAATAAATAAAATCTTTAATAAAAAAATAAATTTAAAAAAATCACTTCATAATATTGGCACTTAGCACGTTAACAAGCTGCATGCATTTCAAAGCTTTTTATCCCTTTACTATACTCTCTCCATGTCCTCCACCCCCAGCTCCCACTATTCTACTCTCTGCTTCTGTGACTTTGACTTTCTTAGGTTCCACGTATAAGTGAGATCATACCGTATTTGTCTTTCTATCTCTGGCTTATTTCACTTAGCATGATACCCTTCAGGTTCATCCACGTTGTTGCAAATGGATTTCCTTCTTTTCCATGGCAGAATAATATCCGTGTTTGTGTGTGTGTGTGTGTGTGTGTGTGTGACATATTCTTTATCCATTCATCTGTCAATGGACAACTTAGAGTGTTTCCATATCTTGGCTAACATAGGACTATAGATAGCTCCTCAAAATTCTGATTTTATTTCCTTTGGATTTATACACAGAAGTGCAGTTGCTGAATCACATGGTAGTTCTATTTTTAATTTCTTGAGGAATCTGCATACCGTTTTTCATAGTGACTATACCAATTTATATTCCTACCTACTTTACCCCATATCCCCACCAACACTTCTTACTTCTTGTCTTTTTGATGACAGCCATTCTGACAGGTGTGAGGTGATACTTCTCTGTGGTTATAATTTGTGTTTTCCTGATTTTCCTGACAGTGATGTCGAGCACTTTTTCATCTACCTATTGACCATTTCAGTTATAAGACAAATGAGTTCTGGGGTTTTAATATACAGCATGATGACTACAGTGAACCATACTGTATACTTGGAATTTGCTAAGAGAGTAGATCTTAAGTGTTCTCATCACTCCCCAAAAGGGAAGCAATTCGAAGTGATGGATGGGTCCACGAGCCTGACTGTAGTCATTATTTCACAATGTGCAGGTGTATCAAATCACCACATTGGACACGATTGTAAATATAAACAATTTTTACTTGTAAATTATGCCTCAATAAAGTTAGGAAGACAAGAAATTGTAAGAAAAATTTTAAAGCACCAAGAAGAAAAAATACGTTATACATATACACATACACACACGAAAAGACAAGAAGTACTGATACGTGTTACAACATGGATAAACCTGGAAACCTTGAAAACAGTACGCTAAGTGCAAGAGGCACAAAAGACTGGGTATTCTCTGATTCCATTTATATAAAGTGTCCGGAATAGGCAAATCCATAGAGACAAAAAGTAGATTACTGTTTGCCAAGGGTAGGGGGATTTGGGGGATGGGGAGTGACTGCAAATGAGTTTCTTTTTGGGGATAATTAAAATGTTCTAGAATCAGATCATGTGGATGGGTGCACAACTCTTGACTCTGCTAAAACCCACTGAATTGGGCACTCTAAAGGGTAAATTTTATGGTATATTAGTAATTTCACTGGAGTTGTAAAAAGAAGGTGAAAAAAAGGCTGTTGGTACATATCAACTCCTTTCTTCTTCACAATAACCCTACAAAATGGGTGCTGTTGGTGTCCCCATTTTACAGGTGACGAAACTGAGGCACAGAATGCTATATAACTTGCCCAGAGTCCCTAGCCAGAAAGTTAAAGAGCAACCTAATTGGTTTTTAATTTTGTTTTTAAAGACATAAAAGATTAAATTTGCCTGGTTTTTAAAGTTTAAAACAGAGAACTTGTATCTTCTGTCAAGAGATACAAGGAGAATGTGTGTATCTAGAATCTTCCAATCCTGTATTTTAGTGACTTAAAAAGTGGGAGGGGAGAGCTAGGCAAGAGAGAGAGAGAGGAAAGAGGAAGACGGGACTCCCCCCGCCCATGGGAGAAGGGAGAGAAAGAGAACAGAAAAACCACCAGGAACCTGCCATAGGTTCTGGGAGAATAGCATTCACCTCCCTCGGATGTCCACCAGAAAATGGACTTCCGAGAAATGTGCTCCATTCACGTGGCCCCTTGGAATTCTGGTTTTGGGTCTTCCATTCCTCCCTTTACTAGGAGAGCCTTGTAGCACCCAGCAGAATAGTGTTCTCAGAAGATGGTCTCTGTGAGCTAGGGTCTGCAGGAACAAAGAGGTGGGAAGCAGGGATTCTGGCTTCACTCTGGGAACAATCCCTTACCTTTGGGGCCTCAGTTTCCTCATCTGTACTATGGGTACAATGATATGTCTGCTACCTCCTTGGAATTAGTATCACACCTGCACCAAAAGCCAGGCAGGTGGTGATAATGCAAGTTGGAACATCCCAGCCAGGGAGTCTTAGGGGGTCCTGGG